AGATCTCAAGAAATAGAATGGTCCTTATACCAGAAACGCAAAGGCAGGACAACTAAAGACACTGAACTTCCACAAAGCTAACCCCCCAGGCATATGCATTAAGTAGTTCTCTCCTAGGAGACTAACAGGATTGAGCAACTTTCCTCATCCATTCTACTAGACATCTGTGTTCCAGCACAGACTTCAAGGGGCTTCTGGATTGGCACAGTGACTAGAAGAGGAAGAGGGTAATATTGATATTCAATTCAATGGACAGAAGTCAGGAGTACTAGGTGCCACAGATGAATGGTATAGTCCCATATGAGGATGAAGCATCATTCATCCCATACAATTCTATGTCTGGCTGGACACTCACATAGGTTAAAAAGCTCTCTTTAATGATCTGAACTGGGTACCCCATTCCATTTTACATATTGACACAAAGCACAACTTGGCATGGTTTTAACACTATTATTTTTAAAATTTCCCAAAATGCAAGTACTATTTAATGAAAAAAAGTGTACTTTGCATTCTTCCTAACATTACCAAGAGCTGCTGACCATTTCAGAAAGGGAGCTAATCATAATCCCAAAAGAAAAACCCTGAATGCCATAATCCCAAATGTTGAAATTCTGAAAGACCAAAATTCCTAAAGTCTAAAATCCTGTAAATCATAATCCCAAAAGATCAAAATAATCTCCCCCACCCCCCCAAAGAGCATGGAATAAATAATTTTTAAAGTTCTTTGAAAATATTTTTTTTTGACATTTTTTTTTCTTTTTTAGTTAGAGTCTTACTCTGTCACCCAGACTAGAGTAACGTGGCATGCTCATGGCCACTGCAGCCTCAACCTACTGGGCTAAGGTGATCCTTCCATCTCAGCCTTCCAAGTAGTTGGAACTACAGGCACACACCACCACACCCGGCTAGATCTCACCAATTTGCCTGAGCTAGTCTCGAACACCTGGACTCAGCAATCCCTCTCATCTCCACTTCCCAAAGTGCTAGGATTACAGGTGTGAGGCACCATACCCAGCGGTTTTACACTTTTAAAAGGGGAGTTTTTTAGTTTTTTGAGAGACACACAAAAACACAACAGAACACTGCAAAAACCACTTTACACAATAAAATAGGCAATATAACAGACCTATTTTTTCAAGCATAAACACTTAGGTATACTAATGACAGTCACACAGGTTATGAACACATAAACCATATTCAGAAGAAAGAGGTCAAAAAGAAAGATGCAAAAACGCATATCACTATGGTTGGTAACTGTGCACTCAGCTTTATAAATGCAGGAATCTGAAATACCATGATGAACAACCTAAGTCTTTTGACAAGACTAATAGAAAATCTCAATGGGTCACCACAAAGAGCTGGGATCTCTTTACATTTTTAAAAGGGGAGTTTTTTTGTTGGGGTTTCTTTTTTTTTGAGAGACACATGAAAACACAACAGAACACTTCAAAAGCCACTTTACATAATAAAATAAGCAATATAACAGACACATTTTTATGCAGTAAACAAAGAGCTGAGATTTCCAGAAATTTTATCTTTCACAAATGTAGTGTATAAAGAGGACATCTCTTCATTTACTGAGGAAGTTTCAATGTTCTTATGTATACATACTATGCTTACATACAAAGCCAACATTGCAATAATGCACTTTCATGGAGTCATATTTGCAAAAAACACCTAAGATGAATCCAAACTCTCTGAAAGTCTCTACACAATTTATTCCTCCAGTATTAGAAATGAAGTGAAGATCAATAGCAAAAACATGAAACCAACCATGTTGCCTATCGAAGCTGGACTGGATTTTTAAAAATGTGGTTCATATACACAATGAAATATTATGCAGCCATAAAGAAGGACAAACATATGGACTTCGCAGCAACTTGGATGGATTTAGAGTGGATCACACTCAGTCTATCACAGATACAAAGAAGAGTGCTATATGGTCTCACTCATAAGCAAACCTTGAACAATTATAATACTATAAGAAAGCGACTGGCAGTAGTGGGAAATTGTCAGGGGGGTGGGATTGGCAGTTGAGGGAAATTGCTAGGGAAGGAAGGGGCAAACCTCATCAACAAGGGTACCTGCATAATCAACATTGTATACCTAACCCTGAATTGTATCCCACATCTTTATAATGAAAAATAAAAGAAATAAAGTGAAGATGAAATAGTATAGTGAGTTGTGAAAAGTAATGCAAACAATTTAGTGAGAAAAAACTAAAAGGACACTTTGACATATGAAAAAGTGTGTTGCAGGGATAGATTATGGACAATGCATGGAGACAGTCTGCAACAGCCAGGCTAACATGATGCAACCATCCTACAATTGCGATTTTTGAGATTTTCAACTTTAGAAATTTAGATGTTTGGAATTTTATCTTTAGGGATTTCAACATTCTGAATTACGGTGTTTGGGATTATGTCTTTCAGGATTATAACACAAACCCTTTTGCAAAATCACAGATAACAAGCTTTATGCATCACCAATACTATACACCTGCACCAGTTTATAGATGCCTCATGCACAAAGTTTATATAAATAGGTGCAAGCATTTACATCCTTATGTCTTTCTAGAGTAGTCATCCCTGAGCATTAACCTAACAAAAATATACCATTTATTACTTCCCATTTATTTCTCCTTTATATATTTTTTTAAACTTGGCATCTATTATTTATGAATTTTATTTAATGTCCATAATGTCACATAATATTTGCCATGAAGAGAGCATAAAAGGTCTGTTGAAATTGACTATGTCTGGTAGTGGTTCAAGTCTATAATCCCAGCATTTTGGGAGGTTGAGGTGAGATGGTGCCTGAGCCCATGAGTTCAAGAACAGCCTGGGCAATTTGACGAGACCCCATCTCTACAATAAATAAAAAAATTAGCTGGGGTGGTAGCGCATGCCTGTAGTTCGGGCTACCTGGAAGGCTGAGGCAGAAGGATCGCCTGAGCCCAGCAGGTTGACGCTGGGGTGGCCATGAGCATGCCACTGTACTCTAGCCTGGGAGACGGAGTGAGACTCCAACTCGAAAAGGAGGAGAGGAGGAGAGGGGAGGGGAGATGCTGATCCTGAAATAATCATCATTATTATATTAATAATGCAATTCCTAAAGCCTTCAAAGCAATTTCTAGCCTCCAAGTCTTTGTTTCCTTTGTCCCAGGCTGAGGCTTATTTGTCACTTCCTTCTTCCTCCAGGAAGCTCTCCCTGACTGTATCACACCCCCTTACCCAGAAAAATAGATTTTAGGTACCCTCCTTCTATGTGCTCTCACAGGCTCAGGTGGTTTGCCCTGTAAGATAGTACTTGTCCTCACCTCACAGTTCTATCTCCAGCACCTAGCAAAGTGGTCATTCATTATTCAACATGTATTTCTTGAGTGCCTACTACATGGAAATACAACAGAGACCAAGAGAGATGATGCCCCGACCTTGTAGAGCTGTCATTCTAATGAGTGACAGATGATAATTAAGGGAGCTGCTAAATATAATTGCAGACTACAGTATGTGCTGAGGGTGCTGTGATGTAGAAAAACAAGCAAGACATCTCTTAGATAAGGTGGTGGGGTGAGACCTTGCTGACAAGTCACTTGACATGAAGGATACAAGGTCCTAGCTTAGGAAGAGCCAAGAGAAGAATGTTCTAAACAGCACAAGTCGAGAGCACAAAGATCATGAGACTGTTAAGATTCTGGGGTGCTCAAAAACAAAGTGAACTAAAGCTCACTTTAGTTCACTTTGGAGTGTAGTTCAGAAGCCTCAGCAGGGAAACAGGGTCCAGGCCATGTGTGATGTTGTAGATGGTGACAGAAGGTCTGGATTTCACTTGAAGTGTAGGGGCAGAGACTGCTTACACTGGACTGTGAGCTCCCTGAGGTGAGGAGTAGGGGCTTCACCTCACACCCTGACTTAAACAACAAGTACTGAATGAAGGAGTCCCCTTCGCATGACCCCTACCTTACCAAATGCAGCTGGTTGTGATTTTGCCACAAGCAAGTCAGAATTGGAGCAAGCTGAGATGAATGACCTCATGAGCTCCTTGTTGCTCACACACATTCTAGGTCTTCAACTATCATCCCTAAGCCTCAAGAAACATTACTTATTCCATGAAATATTTTAGAGCCTGGTATGTGACAAATTCTGTTCTAAGCATGAGGGCTATAGCAACAAGCAACACTCACAGGAAATTCGGCTCTCTTGTACCTTACATTCTATTGGGGGGAAACAGTCAGTAAACAAAATACATTAAAAGATCATAAGTGACAAGGCAAAAAATAAAGCTGGTGACGGGACAGGAAGTGCCTTACAATTTCAATACTAGTACATGGGATGTATGTCATGTCTTCCTCCTAAACTTCTCAGAGAACTTCCAAACAGATTAGCCTCAGAGTGCAGGGTACTATAGGAATTATGTCATCATTTTACTGAAGGTGAAACAGGCTCAGAGAGGCTCAAAAGCTTGCTGTGGTCACACAGCACATCAGCAGTGGAATGAACACAGCTCTCATAAGCCAACTAGAAGGACAAATGCAATGATTACAGCCAAAATTTATGAAGCATTTGTGCCAGACATTGTTCATGTGTCTTTTATGCCTCATTTTATTCAGTTCTCACAATGACCTGAGATGGATATTGTTATCATTCCCACTTCACAAATGAGGTATTCAAGTTGGAACACAGCTACATAGCCTGCCCAAGAGCACCAGCTAATGAGTGGGAGAGCCAGGATTCTGCCCTAGGCAAGTTTGCTTCCAGAGCCTGTGCTCACAACCACTTCTCTACCCAAAGGGAGTGGCTGGGAAAAAAGTAACTCTACGGACATGTCAAGGTAACTAGGATCTATCCCTCTTTAGGGTCAGTCAGCTCCTTTTTACCCCTTTATAAAAGAACATAAGAAAGCCAGCAGCTAGAGTTGAAGGGTTGCATAATCCACACTCAGACACTACCAACAGCCACTCGTGACCCCTTCATCAACAAGAGACCCATGGCAATACATACGTGCAGTTTGTTGAGCAGCACTGCATCTGTTGTGCTGTTGGCCCCTGGCTTAGCAGCTTTCCAGAACTGCTTCTGGGCAGAGTAGCGGTTCATAGGACATAGCTTAAAGAGGCAGTCTAGAAGTGAAGCAAACAAACAGAAATCATTACTGAGGATACATATACACTCAACCTATACAAAAAGGCATTCCACTTTTACTTATATAAGGTATTATGAATCACATCATACATAAGTATAAATGGCGGTACAAAGCCCTTTTACAAATCTCTCTTTTTAAAAAATTTTAATTCTCACCACCACTGTGTGAGGTTACAGATGAGGAAACCGAGGTTTACAGAAAGCAAGTCAACTGTCAGTTGTCACAGAGCTAGTGGGCAGCAGAGGTGAACTCGGTGTCCAAACCTAGTGCTCTTAATTCTACCCCACAGTTGTCTCCTTTCCTTTATGATGGACAAATATAAGAGCAAACTGCCCTCACCTTATATGTATAACAGTACATACAAACATTTCAAGTATTTTTTTATATAAGTAAGCTACTCTCTTCAGTCCTACTAAAATTTAACAAAAAATTACAGAAGTTTATTCATCTCCTCATTGCCATGTGCAAGATGATCCTCTGGGGTGCAGAAAGACAATATCTAAACTTGCATTTAGATAGTCTGTGCCCTTGTCCTCTGGGTCTCAATGTTACATTGTGATGTACTTCCATTTAGTACGTCTGGGCTTAAATGACTTTATACATCATCCTGCATAGTATTACCAATCCTCACAAAATGGACAAGTGGCTTCAAAAGATTTCTGCAGAGAAATCAGAACATCAAAGACAGTAGTAATGTAACCCCAGCAAAGAAAAGTGGCAGAACCAACCATTCTCTTTTAACTTTTTGCTACTATAATGTAAAAAGAATAATAATCAAATCTGGGAAGAAAACACACTCAGAGATTAAAAATCATAAAATATTGCCTTTAGAAATGAACAGTGCCATAAACCACCTATGAACATGGACACCTACGAACGTAACATAAATACCTGTGAATATTATTCTAAAGCACCACTCCTATTTTCCTGCTTGTTTTATAATGTACATAATATACTGTATGTAGCTTTTAAACACACACACAGTTTAGGGTATATGTATCAATGTTTTAAAAATTAGAGACGCCTGAGCCCGTGGGTTCGAGACCCACCTGTGCAGCGAGACCTCATTCTACAATAAATCAAAAAATCAGCTGGGTGTGGTAGCGCATGCCTGTAATTCCTGCTACTTGGAAGGCTAAGGCGGAAGGATCGCTGGAGCCCAGTAGGCGAGGCTGCGGTGGCCGGGAGCGGCCACTGCACTCTAGTCTGGGCGACCGAGTGAGACTCCAACTCAAAAAAAAAAATTAGAGACAGGGTCTTGCTATGTTGTCCAAGCTATAGTACAGAGCCTATTCACGGGCACAATCATAGCCACTTTAACCTCAAAACTCCTGACTTCAAGCAATCCTCCTGTCTTAAACTCTGGAAGAGCTGATATTACAGGTGTTTAACACCACTCCCAACGTCACCAAATTTTTTTGGTAGGGATATGTCATCAACAAAGTTTAAGGATATGCCATCAACAAAGTTTAAGGATATGCCATCAATAAACAAATATGTAATTGGTTTAGGAAACTAATATTTAAAGTTGACACACAGCCATGTGTGGTGGTGCACACTTGTAATCCCAGCAGTTTGGGAGGCTAGAGCAAAAGTATTACCTGAGCCTAGGAGTTCAAGATCAGCCTAGCAAAATTTTGCTTCTACAAAAAAATAAAGAAAATAAGCTGGGCATGGTGGCTTGTGCCTTTAGTTCCAGTTCTTCAGGAGGCTGAGGCAGAAGGATCATCTGAGCCCAGGCAGTCGAGGCTGTGGTGAATTGTGATTGTGCCAGTCTGGGCAACAGAGTGAGACCCCAATTCAAAAACTAAATAAATAAAATTGATATACACCCTGAAAAGTTTACATTTTAGCATACTAGGTTTTCAAATGGTAGATACTTATAGAGTAAAATTAGTAATAAATTTGGACTATATATTTAGATTCAGAAAAATTGCACTATGAAAGTAGGTCAGAACAAGCTTTTAAGAAAATTATTAGCCGTAATCTTATTCTTAACTGTTCATTAAAATAGATTTCCTTAAAGGATTGCAACCAGATAAATACCTAGCTATTGTGCTAGCCAAATAACAAACTCAAATTAAGAAAAATTTATTTGCTGTCAAGTATATAAACACTAGAACTTTCCTCTAATTCAGTTAGCTCTAGTCAGGATCCATGAACTGTTACTATATACCACATACCCAAATACTTGATACTGTTCAGAAAAAGAAATAAAAGACCATCTAATCGTGGAAGTAATTGTTACTTTTCTGATTTCTATAACCTCCTTTATAACACTAAATATTCCTACCTAGACACAGGCAGGGATAAGATAAATACAGGCCTATGATATCCATCTTTATCAAGAATCTAATCCATCTACTAGAAGTAATTTGTTCTACTTATGAATGATAATATCTAGGACTTTAGAGAACAAAGAACACAGCAGGAGACCAGTTTAAAGATAGTGCTGCTCTCCCCACCTCTTATGGTCATGACATTTGCTGTATCAGTGGCAACTTAATGATAGCATTTCGAGAGACCATTTTCCTATTACCTGGATATACATGAACTCTCTACTCACCTCACGAAAAACACCCACAACCCTGAGACTACTGGCCTGTCTATGAAAAAAGTTTAAGGATACACCATCAACAAACAAATATGCAATTGTATCAAGATTGGCATCTGGATTGAGTCAGAATGATTTCCTTAATAGCTACTGACTTTTTAAAAATATTCAAAATATTTAAGTTACCAACATTAACATCCGTCACATGACTTCCTTTGTGGACCAAATGGGGTTAACAAGTTCAGTGTTCATCAGTAATAAGATCTAAAGAGTGAAAAACTTATTTTTTTCCAACATACTTCATACGATGACAGTTAAATGGTATGCATTCCAAAAAAGTTGATCTAAGTTAATTTTGGGAATAATCAGGTTCCATGGTGCCAAGGGATAAAATACAACAGAAAGTACCATTTTACAACTGTTCATGGAACAACCAAGTCAAGCACCTCACCTCACAAACAGAGGGGTCACAATAGGGGCTCAGAACTTCAGTTAACTTTCCATTCACCTAAGAAGAGAGTGTGTCCTGTCAATCCAGCCAAAGTCTTACTATAACTTCCAAACCAACTATTTTCCTTGGGCAAAACAGAGCACTACATCAGATTAACTGTATTTACAACCAACTGTCTATGTAAATATAAGAGATGCTAACATACTAGTAACAGAACCAGATTAGCCTTGCTGATTTTGCCCTGTCTTCCCAGTTGCTTAGCAACTACTTCAAAGTGAAAATTAAATTAAGCAATTCAAATGTAATGTTAACGTAACCTTCTGAAATTGTGCAATCCAGCGACTCCATATTGCCCTTCACTATTTGGATGGTATAGCAGGGCAAAATTAAAGTTCTGCTGGGTCCTAATACTGCAATAAGTATAGGGATATACAAATACAGGAAAGCCAATAGAAGAATACATATAATGTATTTATTTGTGGGGAGGAGAGCACGTTTGTGTGTATGCACGCACACGCACGCATACACGCTGTGGTTTGATCTCACCCCAAAGAAATGCCACAAAGAAAATCCTACATGACAAGTGTTATTTTAGGCCTTTGAGGAGTAAACTAAACAAAGCTTTCAAAAAATTACTTTGGAATATTCCAAAGCTTTGGCATATGCCACATTACATTAGCAAAGGAGAATGTAGCTGAACAGAGGAGTTAAGTACTAAAGGACAGGTTGGCTACACACTGGACAGAACAGGCCACAAGAGATCTTCCGTTGATTAAACGGCATTGTGGAGCTTGGCTGCAGGGAGAATACTCAACTGCTTAGTAGATGAGTAGAAAGCAGAGAAGTCAGCAGACCTTTAGAGCCATCCACATCAGGGACTAAATCAGAGAATAAGCGTTGCCAGAATAGCTAGACCCCACTGCGCACTGTGTCCACACCTTCCTCCCCATCTCCTTCAACTCTAGCATGTAGGGTGTTGGAGGGCAGAGACTTTTGTCTCTTTTGCATGCTATAATAACCCAAGGCTTAGGGATAGAGTAGAAGCACAATGATGTTGAATTAATGATGTAAATGTGCTATAATCCCTAGGGTTCCAGAAACAATGGCAAGTATGTCCTTTGGAAGTCATGTCCTGCTCTACACTTCCAGGAGTTTATTCACGGATTCAGTTACTACCTATCAAAATGGCTACTATGTACTGGTACAGATGCACTTTCTTAATACACTCCCAGTGACAGAGACAAACTGGTCAAATATACAAGTTGAATTACAGCAAGTCAAGTACTATGGAGGCAAGATTTACATATGGACACAACATGGCCTAGGTAGGGAAGCTGCATGTCCTATAGGTCATCAGGAAGAGCATCTCCAGGGCTGTGGTATCTGAACAGAGTGGCAGAATGAGAAACAAGGAGCCAGCCTTGATAAAAATTCAGGGATGAAGCCTTTCAGGCAGAGGAAATAGCAAGCACAAAGGCCCTGAGTTGAAAAGAAAATCTTGACAGACTGACCAGAAAAGAGGGGCAGGGAGGTAGTGGGCAACAGTGAGAGTTGCAGAAGATGTGGCTGGAGAGGCAAGTGGAGGTTGCACCATGCAAGGCTGTGCAGGCCATGGGAAGGCATCAAGCCAATCTAAAAAACAGTGGGAGAACCACTCAAGGGCTTTCAGCAAAAGAAGAACCTGGTCCGGCTGATGTTTCTAAGGGAGTTTTCTTCTTTGTGACTGTGCTACTAAGAAAGGGAAGGGAGGATTTAGGGGGAAGGAGTGAATGTCAAAAACCTTATTTTGGCAGTGCTTAGTTTGAGATGCCTATGGAACATCAAGCTGAAGTGTTGAGCACTGAGTAGGCCATTCATCAACTAGCAAGTTGAAAATAGAGAACAGACAGTTATTTAAGGGTACCGGGGGATGGGGAGCAGAAGGAGAAGAGGAAGCATGGGGGCATGGGGAACAGTGGAAAGTTGAGGAAGT